GCCCACTATCCTTAATATTTAACCATATTCCTCATTTTTATTTCTTTAAAAAAAAAAGTAATGCATTTTTAAATTTAATTTAGCATAGCGCCATAGCGGGCTTTCAAGTCTCATCTCACTCCACAGCCACATGTACGTGTTTCTCGTCTTTCATTTGATTTGTATCTGCTATGCGTGTATCTCTACGTATATATACTGGAATCGACACCTTTGGATGGTGCACGAGCTCACTTGAATCTGTTTGGCCATCTAGTTTGGCGGTGGTGAGTGGGATATTGCTTTCTGCAATGCGGTAAGGTGTTTGATGAATTGTTTGTGAGATTTTCAGTTGTATAGGTGCGAGTGGATGTCTGCTTCTTTGCCTAATTTCAACAAGTTGTTGTTGACGTGCGTTTTGCTGGATTCAGTGACAGGCTTGTTCCTGGAATGTTGGTCGCTTCCTTATTCCCAAGAACCATCGCTTCAAATTTTGTAAGTCCGACTCATCAATTTTTTATACTTTTATCAAGTCATTTTGTTTAAGCCTCATTTCTCTTTTGGTGTTTGGAAATACTTGTAGCCGGGAGCTGTATATGTTTCGCAAATGTTGCAGTTCAAGTTGCCAGTGTACATTGGAGAGGAGATAGTTGGTGAAATATGTGCAACAAATATCAAGGTTCTGAAAGCAAAACATGTGTAGGTTGCCCTGCTGAATCCCCCCTGATTTCATGTATTTTCATCTAGATTCCATGTTCCTTCTTCTCCAAGCTCTTCAATTCGTTTTGATTGTCAGGGTCAAATTTTTCACCAAATGCTTCAAACGTGATGGCGCGCTTGTTATTGATGGCGAGGCCCACAGCGATCCTGCGGAGTCTGAACAAAGAACTAGCTCGACAGTGACTGTCGAGCTGAAGAACAAAAAATTATTTCTTGTTTAATGGTCAAAATGCATGATTTTGGTGTACTCGATTGTTGCCCGCAGAACAACACAAAGTTCTTCCCCGTTTAATGGTCGAAATGCATGCTTTTCCAGTAACCAGTTTTTGTTGAGCAAAGTAGAAATTAGAATTATGGACTGAATTTTGACAAACAAAATAAATTGACTTTATTGCTAATTCTACCGTCAACAACTCAAAACTATGAAGAACCGGAGGATGTTTAAGTTAAGAGTTAATTCCAGCAATGGTCCACCGATTATGTTGATTTTTCACATTTAGTCTTCGTTTTTTAATTTGGACAATTTAATCATCCCACTATTAAATTTTTTCCAATTGAGGTCCTTCCATTAAGTGCTGGTTAAGTGGGTGTCAATTCGAGGGATAAAATCGTCTTTTCCTTACTCGGTGCATAAATCTGAACCAGAATTTATAACGTCGTCAGTGCCGCCATTAATGCAAATCCTCATCATCATCACAACCTAGAGCTTCAACTCCTGACGACAACCTCGTCGTCGAGCCACCTCGATGTCTCGGTATCGTCGAAGATAGACGACGCCGACCATTGCACTCAGCTGCAGCTCTCCATCGGCTCCTCGAACTAAACTGAGAGGAGCAACAACGGCGAGGCGGCGGAGAACGAGAAATAGAGCTTCAGGGCCGATGAAGGAGGAGGCGCGGGAGCAGCTGAGGGCGGGGATGGAGGAGAAAGCGTACGCGAAGGAGGCGAGACAGCAGGCGAAGAAGCCAGATCGAGTTAGCGAAGCAAGAGTTCGCGAACACCAAGAGGATCAGACAGCACGCGCAGGCGGAATTGAACAAAGCGCAGGCGTTGAGAGAGCACGCCATCCAGCAAATCAACTCCACGCTCTTGCAGATCACCTTCCATGCCTGCAAGCACCCGTTCCAAGCTTCCGGCATAGTTTCTAGCCGCCCCGAAAATGCTTTGGTGTTCAACTATATCTCCTTGGCTTTAATGGAGAGCTGCGACCTAGACGGAAAAAAGTGATACCTTCAATTCGTCTTTCTATATTATAACTGTTCTTCATTGTCTCTTCAAACTTTTTTATATTCGAATTTAAAAAAGTTCCGCTTTTGCATTGTCTTTTTGTTTCTGTTGAAAAAGTCATCCAACAACTTTCTCAACGTGAATAATGTTTCATCACTTGTAATGAATGATTTTTACAAGATGACCATGTTTGTTAAAATGAATGGTTCATATTATTTTGGTTCAGAATTTTTTTATGATTTTTCTTATTTTCTTCCCTTTTTTTTTTTTGAATGTTACTGGCCCTATTACATTGTAATATCTGTTCATATACTTTCTCAACCTACTGAAACACAAAGAACCTACTGAAACACAAACAGAATTGAAAAAGCCTTTATTTCAATTTCATTATGAAAGTTTTCTTTTTATTTATTTTTTCATTTCTTTTTCCAGCTACACTTTTTTGTATCTAGATTCTATAGGTAGTGCCAATACAAGTCCTTTTGTTTTATTTTCATTCATTTAAATGAATATATGAATTATTCATATATTAGTTATTAGTATATTAGTTATTAGCATTTTTTTTCCATTTTTCAATTGAACCAATTTCAATTGAAAATGGAATTTCTTTTCTTTCCCAAATCTAGCTAACCTAACCCCGGATTCGTCTCTAGGAGAACTTCAAGAATCCCAGTCTTGAAAGTCCGGCGAAAATGAGGATAAATAGAATGTCCCCCAGAAATCATTAATTAGGCGTTCCGTAGCAGTAATTCCATTCATTCGAGGTTCTTCATGATTCATTATATTCCCATAATTTGTGCTTGCCCCATCACTCCGAACTCCATCATCCCTATTCTGGCTAGTATACAGGCGGTAAAAAAGCTTTATGAGGTAAGCAACTCCGGTCCGTGTGGTGGGCCCATGATATACTCCTAGTCTCAAAAGGTTTGTTGATTTCATATTAGCGTATATATTATTTACTTCCTCGATCATCTCCCGGGTAAGTCTATTCACACAAAGAACCTACTGAAACACAAAGAACCAATAACGCCTCCACTGAGGCTTGAACTCACAACCTTCCAAATGGAAGTCCAACCCGGATACCATTAGACCACATAGTCCTGGTATACATTTTCTTCCCTTAAATAACTATACATTTTGTTTGTATAAACTTTAGCAACGAAATATTCTATTCACTATTTATTATAAAGAGATATAATTTCATTAGTTATATTATCTTTATTTTCTACAATTCAAAGATTCATTACATGCCAAGACATTATGGTCTAATGGCATAAGGTTGCACTCCCATATGGGAGGTTGTGGGCTCGAGCCGTGCTTCAATAGGTTCACAAAGTAGTTATGAACATATACTACATTGTAATAGAGTCAGTAGCATTAAAAAAAAAATAAAAAATTACTGGCACTGTTTGATAAAATAGTTAGTATATCAATTAATTTTGACTTATTTGATCATTATTAATTGTTTGACTTGGTTAAAAAATCAATATAAGTGTTTGGTTAATTAATTTTTGTAACTCTAAAATGCTAAAATTCAAAAAATTGTTCAAAACAACTTTTTTAATTAGTTTTTTAAGAAAAAAATATACCAAACAACTATCAGCTAACAACTAATTTATCAAACACATTTTTACAAATCGGTCAATTTTACCAACTAGTTATACCCTCTAATTAACATAATCAGATAACGGCTAACAGCCATTTACAAAAGCAGAACACTTCCACAAGTTTTGAGCTCGTTCAGAAAAGGTCATCAATATTTTGACAAACTTGCCGATAGGGTTTTCAGGAGATTTCGGTCCTCTAAAATGGTAATAAACGAACTCATATTTGCACCAAAGTTGAGCTATGAACATTTTTACCCAAGTAAAAGAGTTCCACAAAATTTTTAGCCCGTTATAAAATGGTCACCGATATTCTAAAAAATTCGCCGGTATGATTTTCAAAAGCGTCTGGTCCTCGAATATGGTAAAAGATCACACATCTCTAACTTCATCAATCTCATATTGATTGTAGGACAAACCTCCTTATCTCTTTAAATGCTACAAAGTTGGAAAAAAAAATGAGTAATCAATGACTACCCCTATAATAAACATCATTCATAAAACATCAAGGGGATCAATATCAATCAACACCATTCCTTAACACGCTATCTCTTTCAGCACATAATGACTCCCCCTATAACATGCGTCTATTCCACAATGAAATGAATAGGGCCAAACAGTGAAATAATGGAAATATAAGAAAAATCATCAGGAAATTCACATTCTTAATGGCATATGCAGCAAGTAAAAAGTGAGTAATCAAGGGGATAAATAAGGAAGTAAGCATTGAACTCAACATTAGTAACAGAATGGAATTTGTTTACTCTAGTAATTAAAGCCTTGGGGAGAGGAGTAGCTTCCTTTATTTATTATGTCTCTTCCAAATACTCTTGTATGCCTATATATTGATCTGTAATCTGAAGTTAGGAGTATGAATAAGAAACCTTTCTAGCCTTTTAACAAAAGAGAAGACAATCATAATTCAAAAGACACTCTGACCCCTTTCCCTACCCAAAATTATAATCAACAAAGACGAACATAAAATCAAAAACATGTGATTCATTGTAAATTTTGATAAAAGAATAAACAAATGGCTCATTTTAAGGAGATACACAAATTGCCAGCAAGTTAATTCACATCATTGACTCTAACAAATTTTATTAGGCCATTACCTGTATGTTACGCATTTTGCTGGATTTGCCGGTGTAATTGCACAATCCAATCCATATAACCATTTGTACCACCAACCTGGTCCTCAACTAGATTTCTTAGAAGGAAGAATCCTTCTCTCGGCTGTTCATCTTGCCTCACAAGGTGACATAATTGATAATACGATGGGTCACTTTGTCTAAACTTTCTAAGCAAGCCCATCAATTTTCTTGACACTTCATTATCTTGCTCATGTAGACAAACCTGATTCTCAAGGAGACAAAAAATAGCCACATCAGAGGAAATTTTACAAAATTAAGTGCAAAATAAAGCTAAGGTAGCATGTCAACTTTGGCAGAGCTATTTTCTCTTTTTTCTTTTTTATTTGTTGTGGGGTAGAACACAAAGCAGGGGGGAATAAAATAAAATCCATGATATGGAGCCAGTCAAATAAAACAGAAAATGTTTAAAGATTATAAAGTTGTTTGGTTGTTGGTACCAAAATGTTTTAAAATATGGAATTACCTTCCTTCGTAGGAAGTAGAATGGAAGATTATCTAGAGAAAAATCTAGATTAAAGAAAGACAAACCAAATCAGCATTTTCCATTCCTCTTTAACCTACATTCAAAATCAAAGAGGAACGGAATGCAATGAAAGAAAAGTGATTTTTTTTATACCTAGCCTAGAGAACAAAGATACAATTGCACCAGCATCAGCAAGGCGATACATTTCTCCTAATTCTGCAACCACAGGTGCTGCTGCTGTGTGTACCCTAATACGTCTTTCTCCATAAGAGGATGTGTACCTTCATACTATTAAGGAACCCTAAATTTCCCAAAGATAAGAGGAAAAGCTAAATACCTGTGTATTCAATATCAAGTAGAAATTTCATCTCCATACCAAAGCATGGTGGCGCGGCGATGTCCGAAAGCGTCCAGCGAGGGCTGTTGGGGCGACACGACGGTGCGGTGAGGGGTGAGGCAGCTGGCGACGGCGGTGGCGGCGAGAAGAAGGAAAAGGTGGAGCGGCTGTGGCGACGAAGGTGGATCAGCTGTGGCGACGACGGTGGAGCGGCTGTGCGACGAGCAGAAGGAGACGATGTGGCAAAGACGCGACGGTGGTGGAGCGGCGGTGTGGCGTGGAGACGAGGATGGAGGTGTGGCGTGGAGAGGAGGTAGAGCGGCGGTAGGTTTAATTTTTTTGTTTGATCTGATCTGAAGTGTGAGCTGCGTTGTAATTTCAATATGATATGCAATATTTATTTATTTATTTTAATACAAAATGGTTACGGCGTCGACTA